AATTGACCCTTATGACTGGTTTTGTGCTCCAGGGTCACATATTGAAATTGGTTTGCACTAATATTGTAATACAAAAGAATTAGAGGTTGACTGATGCTGATACAAAGACAACATATTCAAAGAATTCAATAGCCAGATTATTGTAAAATCTATATATCGACTGTTCCGAATAATGTTCTTAATCTATCTTTCCTGCGAATCTCTTTCATTAATCGAGCTAATTCTTATGGAAAGGCTCATCATTTACTGGACACTGGTAAAGCAGCGTCTTTGAGGGCTTTTCACAAAGGCCACATTGAGCTGTGACAGTTTGATAGGGTACGCAGACTCAATAATAAGTTGCACGTGAGCATTTACATCCTCCTGGAAGATGCTTTCAGCCCGATTGACTTGATGAGCATCACTGCTCAGCCTCACTTGCGTCTGAACATCTCGGCGAAGATGCAGCCGGTGCTCCAGATGTCCAGCGGCGTGGCGTAAGTGGTCTGGAGCAGCACCTCCGGAGAGCGATACCACAGCGTCACCACCTGAGCGACCAGAGAAACACATCAGCTGCGTCTGCGCTGCAGTGCCATCAGCGTTCAGCACGCGAGAGCACGTGTGTCCTTCTCACCACCGGTGTGAGAGCCATGTGGCAGCTGTAGATCCGCGCCAGGCCGAAGTCAGCCAGCTTCACCTGCCCTCTGCTGGTCACCAGGATGTTCTCCGGCTTCAGGTCCCGGTGGAGAACTCGATTCGAGTGCAAGAACGCCAGCCCACACAGCAGCTGCTGCATCAAGTCCTGCATCACACGCAGACACAGCGCATCTGCCATTAACAGTGTAATTAGTCAGTACTGAGTAATATTACTGTAGGGTTAGGCTTAGGGTGAAATGTAAAATCTACATTAGAGAAAGTACTGGGTAATGCAAGGTAACTCCATGGGTTCAGGTAAGGTTCAGGGTTAAGATTTAGTTATTACCCAGTTACTGTAATTACTATTAGTAGTACATAGTATGTACATGTGGAACAGGACTGTAAAATAAAGTGCTACAGTTACGTGTTACATTTGTAACAAGGACACTAAAATCACATGTGTCACCTACATCTGTCTCGGGTGACTGGAACATGGGTGGCTCATGTTATTTGAAAGCATTTCAAACCTTTCTGTTGACATGTTTTAGGTGAGCTTTCGCTGCTTCCCATCATGCATCAGGACATGTCAGCGTTCGCATGTGATTCTAAACGTCTCCAGAAATACAGCAAACACTGTAATATTGTGAAATAATATTATTACCATTTAAAATAACTCTTTTCTGTGTGAATATCTTTATTCCTGTGATGCAAAGCCGATTTTTATGCTGATTTGCAGCTCAAGAAACATTATTTAATATCAATGTTAAAAATATATATATATTTTTTTTCTCATAGTTCTTGTGGAAACCGTGATACATTTCAATTCTCAGGATTCTTTGGTGAATAGAAAGTTCAAAAGAACAGCATCGATTTGAAATAGAAATATTTGGTAACATTATAAATTGCTGTCACTTTTGATCTATTTAATGCGTCCTTGCCAAATAAAAGTATTAATCTCTTGATTTGTCTTAACGACCCTACAGACTAGTGCAGTGTTTTCATGCCAATGCCGAATTCAATAATGAATGCAAAAAAAGGTTGTTGTTTTTTTTTAAATGTAATGAAAACAAGTCTTTCTGGGATGCGTTTCTGTCGTTACCAACAGAGTTTAATAGAAATTGTGACCATAGTTAGCTAACGATGCTTTTGGGAAACGCACGCACCCATGAACAGTTAGAACATTACATTAATGTCAAGGGAAACATCCAGTAGATATTTCACAGCACAAGGCTGCAAAGAAAAGGTTGGGAGTGTCTGAACTAGTGGACTGAAGTCTTGCCTCAGTCTGAAAGCATTCAGTTTGTGTCTGAACTTCCTTCACTGTATACTTAACTTAATCACTGAACCGCAAACAAACATTTGGACTTGATCTATATTTATGCCAGTGTGTTACTACATGAAGCTTCAGATGAAGTCTGACACTAAACATCTGGCTCAGATCCTCTAAAAACCCCCAGAGGATGGGCTTGTGCAGCGTGTTGGTGATCTTACTCTGATCTGGTGGATGGGCAGCCCAGGAGCCGGCACTTTCTCCAGATACGTCCTGAGGTCCTGATCCACGTGCTCAAACACTAGAGTCACTTTAGTCTCCTGGTCTGTTCTCAGTGTGGCGCACACGTCCATCAGCCTGAACACACACAC